TCCACCACCTTCCACAATGAGACACCATGTACACTATTTCAGTCAAAACAATTAGTGTTCTTTCTGGCTTTATCCACTTAGACCTGCGGTGACTGATCACTATAAATTATGTATGTGTCTGGCCAGCTGCACTTGCTCACTCACGCATAGAGTTATAGACATTTCATTTTTCTCAGTCCCAAAACATTGCCACACAAAAAAATCCATACTTCAAAATTCAAATACCATTGGTTTTCAACTGTATCTATACTAACAGATTCTTGTATTTGATGTCTAATTTGTTTTTTCCCTGTAAATATTTTCTTTATATTTTCATGAATAAATGACTAAAATGTTTAACCCCAAAGAAGCAAAATATGGCTTATTTCCTTTAGCTATACTGACAATAGAGCAGGCAGGGATCTTAAAGATCATCTAGCACATTCTCTTCATTTTACAGATGAGTTAACTGAGGTCTAGAAATGAGAAGTACTTGCCTAAGGCCACACAACTGGTAAACAGCTGGGCTGGGATCCAATCTGAGGTCCTCTGAAACTAAAACCACTCCTCTTACTACTCCACTAGAATTTTTTTGGCTGCACTTCCCAAATTTATTCCTGAACTCATCTCTGATTGACTTGTTAGGACTTCCAATACATTTAACCCACATAATGAGACCTTCAAATACATAATGGGAATTATAATTCTCCAAGTCTGTCTGTTCCCTATTTGTGATGACCAGCATCTTGGGGAAATGGTCTTGTTTCCAAATACAACAGACTCTTTCCAAATAGAACAGAGCAATTTATATAATCCTATTCTTGACAGCACTAAACAGTTCCAGTGAAATTGCTTGTTAAATATGATGCTGTCTGTTCATCAAAACTATTTAGTGCAGTCTCCAAATATTCACATTCTTATTCTTTATCAACTAACTTATCAAATAGTGAACAATGGAACTAAATGCTGCTGTAGCAATATGACTGATAAGCAGGGCATTTTGTGTACAAACAAGACAATTAGGAACAAATTTTGTAGTGGCATTCAACAAAGCTTCACTGAACCTATATTTCCAAAGCATACTGATACATTTACACATGGCTTGTGCCTCATAGTCAGTATCATCATGACACTGATTTCAGTTTTGTTAAGGATGAAGAAAAATAATTCAAACAGTAGGAGCATGTCATAAAAGCAAAGACAAAAATCTTCAGGGTTGCTAAATCGAATATGTAAATAGTTAAATAGGCACAGAGTTAAATGGTCCAGGTGGGAGTAAAAGCAGGAAAGTTTTCATGATACTATATTTGCTGTGGGTATATATTTCCTCCAGGAGAAAATACTGCACAAAGGTCTCTGAAGCCTGGAATCAGGTGATTGACAGGACCAAAACGGCAAGCACTAAACTATAGGCCCCAAACCATTGAGGGATTTTCCAACTGTTAACAATAATAATAATAAAAAAAGTTTTAAAATAAAATGAAATTTTGTGTAAACAAGTTTTGCATTCTGTCTATGAAAGGAAAAGCACTGAGCTTCCTTCACATTCTCCCTCCAGCTCACAGCTTAATCTGTTACTGACTGAGCTTTCTATATAACTGTTTTTGCTTTTTACCATCCTAACAAGAGGCTGAATGTACCAGGCATTCCTACCTCAGAGAAATCTTATAAATCAGTTTAGAAACATAAAATCTTATAATAGATCTCTCCCACAAACATATCACCCTAATACACTATTTTTTTGTTTTCATGCCATTTTCTTTTTTTTTTCAGTCTCTAAGAACAAATGAGTAATCAAACTTGCTGAGCCTATCTAATTTTATTACTTTATAATTGATGTGCCTTCCCTCTCGAAATGTTGCAATTAATTAATTAGTGTTAATCTCACCTCTGGGAATAATTTAATGTATTCTCTCCAAGTCTTGTCATTTTTTTTTTTACAGTACCTTAGATGCATAGAAGTTAAAAGTGATTTGATGTCAAAAGGGGAGTAGATTTTTGGGGTGTGAAATTAAGGGTTTTTTTCTTCTTTATGTGAATATTCACCATTAAATCAGTCAGACCATTATTCTAATTCTTTTGGGACTTGGAAACTGTGTGGGCATTAGGGTTGGGGCTTCTTTCTCCAAAAGAATGGGCAGTTATAAAACACTGTTTTACTGTTAGTCTCTATAAAGAAACACCCTCTCATTAATTATCATTTCATCACAGATGGAAAAAAACCCTGCTCCTTAAATTTTAATTCCCAGATGTGTGTTTTATAATGTGCTCAACAAACTTTGTAATAAAGAGTAAGTGGAAGAGGAGGAGGAGGAGGAGAAGAAGAAGAGAAGAAGGAGAAGGAGAAGAAGAAGAAGGAGGAGGAGAAGAAGAAGAAGAAGAAGAAGAAGAAGAAGAAGAAGAAGAAGAAGAAGAAGAAGGAGAAGGAGAAGAAGGAGAAGAAGAAGAAGAAGAAGAAGAAGAAGAAGAAGAGAAGAAGAAGAAGAAGAAGAAGAAGAAGAAGAAGAAGAAGAAGAAGAAGAAAACAAACAATATCCAGAAATGGGGAAAGCCTTCTGGTTAAAAAAAAAAGTATTCCCCTTCCCCCCCCCCCAACTCAGATAGCAGTTTGGCTGAAAGGAGTGAAGGGAAGAAAATGGAGTGGGCCCTGGGCCAGGAAAGAACGAGGAATTATTGTTGTAGTCTCTGGAACAATGCTTGGCACATAGTAGGTGCTCGTTGACTAGTTTGTAATATAGATGTCAAGTTCATGGCCCTCTGCCACTGCTTGGAACCAGTTTAAAAAGATAAAAGGAAAATTCCAGCCTTGGGGTCTGCCCTGGGCCACGAGGCCCTTCCGTACTGGGTTTCTCACTTCGGCTCGAGGGCTCGAGGAGATGGTGGGTATAGGTGAGTGCTTAGCCCCAACCTTCAGTCCTTAAGAGTTTATATTAAGTCAGTCTCAAAAGGGTTTAGTCTACGAGTGTCCCCACTCATTGTAAGCATGGGGCCGTGATTCTTCTGGGTAACCGGAAGCAGCCGCGTTGCTGGATAATTGAGGGGAGATATATTTTAGACCTTAGTACAGGAATCGAGAAATTGAGGGGACTTTGCCTCTCTCTTCTTTCTCTTGGCCTGGGCAGGGAGGGCTGCAGGGGTTTTAGCCCCTCTGCACAGAAGGCTTTAGGTGTTTGGGGGGCTGCAGCCCGGGGGCATTTGGCAGAGATTAGAGGATCTGCCTCTAAACTGAAGAAGTATACCTCTGTACTGGGGATCTAGATGGCCCAGGACAAACGGCTACCGGGTCTCCTCCACTCCAGACAATGGGGATAAAGATTTAATAGGACTGGTGGCTGGATCACCCAGGTGGGGCACTTTGATGGAGTGAAGACGCTATCCTCTTCCCCCTACCCTTGCAGACACGCCCTCTACGCCTGCCTAGTGATTCCTAAACAGGTATCACGACTGACCCCTCCAAGTCCTCTGACCCTCTCGAGGCCCAGAGGAGTGGAGACTCAGAAGCCCTTTCGGCGCTATCGGGTCCCCGCTCCAGCGCGGCTCGCCAGCGCCACCCCCAGCGGAGCGAAGCTTCTGCAGCCCTGCGCCCAGGCACCTTTCCTACCTCTCTGCACCCTCTACCCAGGCGCCCAGCACTACATCTGATCAGACTGGGACTTGGGTTCTGGGATCACGCTTGCATTCCGGGAGGGAGGGGAGAAGGGGAAAAGGTAGGGAAGCAGACCTTTTGGGTAAGTCCCCAAGGCTTTCTGAAGGGTTCGCCCTCACAGAGTTGGTCTCAGACTGGGGCTCCCTCCCTCCATTTCCATGATCAGAGGAGAGGGTCTTCTTCCCGCATTTCCTTGCCGCCCGGCAGGAGACCGTATAGCTTCTGACCTCTCCGGAGCCTCCGCCTCCTCCCGGATGCTGCCACTTGCCCCTCCCCAGGGCGACCCGAGAGAGGCAGAAGGGTCAAGTCTCGGGTGGAGCTTAAAATAGCTGGGAAAATGAGCTCTGAATGTGGGGGTGAAGGGTGGGTGGGAGAGAAACCAAAGAGAGACTCAGAGAGACTGAGGGGTCCAGAGACACAAAGACAAAGAAAGATACTCACCAAACCGAGAGAAAGTGGGGGCGGCGGGGTGTCAGGGGGCAAGGGCAGGTTTAGGCATACTGACACTGAGCTCTTGCTTTTAGATCAGAACTCTCGCCAACCTTGTTGAGTGAACAAAGTTATTGCACGAATAAAGATGCCCATTCGCCCAGGGGAAGCGGGGGGGGGGGAGGGAGGGTTGGAGTCTTCTCCCCGGAGCTTCCCTGCCCTTCCTACCTGCCTTCTTCTAGGCATTCTGCCAGCTTTCTCCCACCCTGGTTCCTCCACCTCCTCTCCTTTCTTACCTCTTTCTTCACCTCACGGATTATCTCTTTTCCTTTCTCTTTTCTCTCCTTTATTTTCTTGCTGTTTTCTTCTCCTCACCTACTTTTTGTCCTTCCCTTTCTCTTTTCTTCTCCCTCCTCTGTATTCTCTTTTATGGTTATTTTTCTTTCTAACCCCTTCGTTTCTTCTGTCTTCCCCCCCTCTCCATCTACCCCTCTTCTCTCCTATCTCACTCTCTGCTTCCCCTTTTCCTTTTTTGCTTCTCTTCTCTTTAGATGCTTTGGGGAGACAGGGAGTTCCCAAAGCTCCTGGCCGGTTGAGTAGGGCTGGTGTAATTTTTCTCCACTTCTCAAATTTAATTTGGAGTGACTGGGTGTGCGTGTGCGTGTGTGCGCGTGTGTGCTTAAGACAAGAAAGAAAAAGACCAACCGCAGAGGCCTCTCAGTACAACAGTACAACAAGAAGAAACAAGTGTCGGAGGCTGTGAGAGCGACCGGTGCGTGCCACGATTGGCACAACCAGCTGTCCCCAGGTCCCGCCGCCCCGGGATTACCGTGACGTCACTTTGCTACTCTTCCCACGGAGAACTGTGAAACAACCCAGGAGCAGAAAATAATCTGGCTCGCCACCCTCTCTAAAGCCTCTCAGTCTGGCGTCTTTTTGAACCCTCTTTCGCCCCCTTCCTCATCCATGGGGCAATTGGGTCTCTTTAACCGTGGAGGCGGAGGGCAGCCCTCAAGAGTGCTGGCCCAGACGCCGGAGGAGCAGGGGGCTTCTCCCCTTCAGGTCCCTCCTCTCCCTCGCCCTCCTGTAGCTGGGCCAAGGAGGCCTCTCTGGGAACCGGTGCGCATCTAAAGAGGCGCTGAGAGAGCACAACCCGCGGGTCCCCGCTAGGATTGGCGGGGCTGAGCCCGGAAGCCAGCCTAGACTGCGGGAAAAGGCCAAAAATAAAAATTTTTTAAAAAACAGCACAGAAGACGAGACCATGTCCTTCTCTCAGTTTGGATACCCGTATAGCAGTGCTTCTCAGGTAAGCCCAAAAGCGCAGCCCCTGGAGGTGCCTAGACTCTTAGGCTTCTCTCCCCAGGCTGTATGGCCCAGACGTGTCTCTGAGGCTTCTGCTCCGGGTGTGTTCATGTGCGTCTGTGTGTGTGTGTGTGTGTGTGTATACACACACGTGTCTGTGTGTGCACTCCCTCCTCCCTCAGCTTCTGTCACTCGGTTGGAAGGAGCAGGGTCTTGCCAGCTCTACCACGACCAGCCCTTCCAGTGTCTCTTGGACTTCGGCTTGCTGAGAAATCTGGGCACCCCGTTTATGGACTTGTTTGGTTTACTTCTGTCCTTGTCCCTAGGTCCCTTAGAAATCATAAAACCCATAGAAGAGAAAGCTAGAAGAGACCTTAAAAACAAGAATGTCAGACCTTAGAAGAGAGTTTAGGAATTATCCTGTCCAAAACCTTTAATTTACATAGGAGGAAAGTGAGGCCTTGTGACTTGCCTAAGATCATACAGCAAGATCCTGTTAGAGCCCCGACCAGAACCTGCTTGCTAATCTTTCCAACGTAGGCTGTTTTCTGTTGGGCTGTGAGGTTTTGAATAGGTTTGAGGGCCTGATATACTCCCCCAAATGCCCCTGGCCTGAACACTCATTCAGGTAAAGGTGGAGAAAGAAGGGTCTCAGCTCAGAGCCCAGATCAGCTCCATCACATCTACCTGATCCTTTCCTTTGTAACCTGAGTGGGGTGGTTTGGAGAGTAAATCCAACAAGTCCTCATATTCTTTAAGTTCCTTAGGGAATGGGAGCTGAGGCTTACTCCTGTTTCTCCTTGCTGCTCATAACAGGTGTTTTATAAGAGTGTATGTTGAATGGATAGATGGAATTTAGTAAGCTGGCTCCCAAATGTGCAGTTGACCCCAGGTTTTAAAGGTTCATCCTCTTTGACTCAATTGACCAAGGTTCCCTGTCTTTTCCTACCCTGTCTTTTCCTACCCTGTCTCTCTTCCTCTTTCATACCCTCCACAGTTTTTGGTGCCAGCCAACCCCAGCACCACTTGCTGTGAATCTGCACCTCGATCAGCCCCAGTCCCAGATGGGTCTACCGGCTCGACCCAGGCCTCCGCCCTCTGCTGCCAGTCTTATGAGAACCGACTCCTGGGCAGTGCGCGTCCGGAGCTTGGCACAGCCCTAGGAGTTTACGGCTCCCATTACGCAGCCGCTGCTGCGGCTGCAGCCGCAGCTTCTTCTCATGGCTACTCCAGCTACCTGCCCTACAGCCCAGAGCCTCAGGCTCTCTACAACGCGTTGGTGAATACTTCATCTTGCCCTACTGCCTTGCCAACTCCAACCCCTTTAACTAACTGCCTCTCCCTTCCCTCTTTAAGAATAAGGGCTGGGTTTGGGAAAAGGTGGAAATCACGGAGCAGGTAGTAAAATCCAATTAAAGCAGAGGGAAAGGCTGTATGCTCAGGAAGGCACAGGTGAGAGGGGGAGAGATAAGGCCCAGAAAGATCACCCTCATCCCCAGCAGAGGAAGGGAGTGGGGTCCCAGAGAGGGGATCCCTTCATACTTACACTTTCCTTTCCCCAGCATCCCCCCAACTCTCGGATCATTCTGGGCCACAGCATTAAATACCACTTCCTTTTGTAGAACCCTCAGTATGAACTCAAAGAGACCACTGGCAGCTTCCCAGCTGGACTGGCACAGCCCGGAGCCTACTACCCCTATGAACCTTCCCTGGGGCAGTATCAGTATGAAAGGTAAGACTCGAATGTCACCTCATCTGCAGTCACAACCTCTAGAAACAAGGATCAAGGATGTAAAGAGGATAGGGGAAGGAGGGAGATGGACATTGGGGGACAGAGGACTACAGAGATAAGATGGGGATGGCATCCAGGTGGTAAAATGGGGGAAAGATATACAGTAGAAGGATGAGTAGAGAGAATATAAGGGGATGAGGAGAAAGATCAGAGTAGAAAAAGGGGAAGAGGATAAGGAAGGGATATAGGTGAAGGAAGAAAGAGGAAAGAAAAGAGTTGGATGAATGGCAAGAAAAAGAAAGGAAGGAAAAAATAAGGAGAAAAAAAGGGTGAAGGAAGGTTGAGAGAAAGGATAAAGGAGGGAGAAGAGAAAGAATTCCTCACCTTATATAGTAATGTTAGTTTTCCACTGGAAGTTGCACAAATGCATGCCCCCTCCTTACCTCTTCCTCACCATCTCTTTTCTTTCCCAGACTAGCCCACTGCTTAGCCCAGAGTGAGAGGAATCCCATTCCAGACCCCCTAAACCACATATATCATGCCTAGCTAGCTTTCCCCTTTGCCCTTCCATTCCCACCCCAAAATGCTTCTTTCCCTGGAATGTCCCTATTTTGGTGGCAGGTATGGCTCTGTGGACTTCAGTGGCTCAGCCAGGCGAAAAAATGCCACCAGAGAGACTACCAGTACTCTGAAGGCCTGGTTGTATGAGCATCGAAAGAATCCATACCCCACCAAGGGTGAGAAGATCATGTTAGCTATTATCACCAAGATGACCCTCACCCAGGTCTCTACCTGGTTTGCCAATGCTCGAAGACGCCTCAAGAAGGAAAACAAGATGACCTGGTCTCCCAAGAACAAAGCAGGGGAAGAGAAAAAGGAGGAGAGGAGGGACGAAGAAGATAGCTTTGGAGCAAATGAAGGCCAAGGTAGGAAGGAAAGAAAAGGGGGGAAGAAATCTGCATGGCCTTAGAAAAGTGCTCACCTACAGGTCTTGGGAGACAAAGCTAAATTCCCTCCCAAAAACTGAGCAAAGAATTGGGATTAAGGCCTTGGGACCATAGAGATAGGAGTGGGGGGAACAACTTTTTGTTGTTGACAGCCTGCTTTTCCCATTTAGTAACTGAATCTAAATGCAAATATAGTCATCAGCCTTGGGATCTTGCACCTTACAGCTTCCCACCCCCAAGCACTTCTCCAAATTGGGGACTTTTGCTTTTCTCACCAGTGACTGGTTTATTTGCAGATCCAAAAGCCTGCAAAGAGGCCAAGCAGCTACAGCTAAGTGACCTAGAAGACTTAGAGGAAGAAGGTGAGGAAGAGGAGGAAGAAGAGGAAACAGAAGACCAGGATCGGAATACAGCAGACAAGCTTGAGAGGCTAGGGAAGGGGGCAAAGCTACAGCCAGCAACCAATTTCGAGGCTTCCCAGACTCTGCTTGAGAAAGAGGACCATAACCGAAAGCAGCATGGAACTCCACCTGAGTTCCCTTGCAATAACCCTCCCTGCTCCCGGAGATCAGACTTCTTGGAATCCTGGATGGGACCAGCAGGCCAGATTCACTGTGGGCCCAGTGAGAAGCCCCAGATCTGGTCTCTGGCTCACACTGCTGGGGCCAGTGCCCTAGCAGGAGAATCCGAGGTCCAGGCAGGGCCCCAGAGCCCTCATCACCATCAGGCCCTGGGTAGACTTTCCTCTTTGGGCCAGGGCTGTGAAGCGACAGCCATAGCTGGCATGAGAGTCCAGGCCAGCCGCTGCACGGTATTAGAGGAGCCGCCCCAGGCAGCGAAGATCTTTAGAAATTCGACTTTCAACCTGCAGCATTTGCAGCTGAGCTGTGCCTCTTACCCTGGGCTGGGAGAGCCCTGCCAATATGCATCCGGAGCAGAAGGTAGTGGGACCCCGACTGTGTTGTCTCGATGGGAAATATTCCTGGAATGCTTAAGCTTTAACATCCCACATCCCCACTCTTTCCTCTCTAACCCATTGGGCAAGAGGCAGACTCTACCTACCTCAAAGCTCTCAATCACAAGCCAGCCCTTCTCTCCAGGTGTCTGGGGATAAACTCTTGGTTCTTAAAGGCAGAGGCCCAATCACTTGTCCCGGGATGGGGAGGGGCAGTAGGACTTCTCTGGCCCGCCTATCCCAAAACCGACTTTGTCTGGCGTCTGAGGAGATCAGAGCCAACTGAGGGCCCCTGGAACCCAGGCCCTCCTTCCTGCTAGAGTCAAGAACGTGGCAGGGGAGGGGAACAGTTAGAAAGAACCAAGTATGGAATCTCGATTTACCGACACTCCGTTGTATCCGTATACAGGGTTTGCATGAACCGTGGAAGGGTGGTGAAGAGTCCACAGAGCTCTAGGAAGTTTGCCTAGAGCAGCATGCTGTCAAAGACAGTTCTCAAATTTTTTTTTTTTTTAGGCAAGTGCTTTGGAATTGAGGTAGATGTCAGAACACCTCCGCTCACTTCCCTGGTCTTCTGGGATCCCACGGATCATAGGATGTAGAGATGAAAGGAACCTTAAGGATGTAGTCCAGTGCCTTCACTATATAGCTAGGGAAACAGGCACAGAAAAAAAATGAAGTGATTTAAGGTCACCCTGAAAGTATAAGTAGTGGAACTACTACTCCAATCCGGCTCCTTTGGTTCCAAACCCAGTACTTTTTTTTTTCTACCACATTGATACAACTGAGGGAGAATAGATTGATCTGCAAAAGCCCAGCCTAGTTAGGAAAAGTGAGGCGGTAATGGAGAATAGAAAGGTCTTGGTGGACTCTTCCACAGCGAATGTGGATAGCCAAAACTGACTGAAATTTCTTAAATGGAAATGAGATTTACCCTCCCCACCCCCAAAGCCGCCGCGGTCTGAGGAGCAGAGTTGGTAGTAATTGCCTTTGAGCTATTTCTCACAGGACCATCCTGGTAAATTAGTTTGCAATGAGACAAGCATCTAGATAACTGGATTCAAAGCCATCCTTGTAGAAAGCCAAGCCACTCTAGACTCTGGCTTCCCAAATGTTGCTATTAGTTTCGATTTAAGAATCGGATGTGACCGTTACTTGGGTCTCCCAAGCAATGAGACCCTTACTTGGGCAACTTTCGGAAATTTGACCTGGCACCCTCCCCCAAGTCCCATCCTCCCCGTGAGTTTAAGGAGGCCTGCTTCGCCTAAGCGGCTTGCCTCGGGTTTTAATCACTCTGTCCTTTCTCAGCAGGTTAGCGCAAGAATTGAGATTTGACGAAGAACCTTGGGAGCCGTTCAGTTCACCAAAGAGCGCCCCTAAGCAAGCCCAGAGACTAAGACACACTAAAGGCAGTTTTTCTCTGCCTCAGAAACGGACAAACAAGCTGTGGCTAGCTTCTCTCAGTCCTTTCACTGAGAGCTGAGAGTAGCCTGCAATTGCACAGCTTTCGGAATATTTGAAGCGCTTGGAAGGAGAGCAAAGAAAGGACTAAGCGAGGTGGTCTAGAGCGCGGGACCGTTGGTTTCTCAAAGGGGGAAGGGGAAGCGTTCTCCTTTTCCCTCCGTCTTCCTTCCCCTTGTCCATCACAGTTTAAAGCACCCAAAACTCCGAATCTCCCAGAACACTAAATATTCTCGTTTCACTAACCACTAACAGTGGTCAATCAGGCCGCCCTCGCCAGGCTGATCTTAATAATCTCCACTTGGATTCTCAGAAACAAACACAAAGTCCCTTTTGCTTTTTCTTTGGTAAAATATGTTTGCAAAACTCAGTCTGGTGCTTGGGAAGCAGAAGAAGGCGCAGTTTCCAGCTAAGTGATCCTGGCGGAGGGCTGACTTGAACCACACGGCTTAAAACCTCCCCAAGGCCAGGCGGGAGGGTCTCCACGTGCCCCTTCAGACCCTGGAAGTAGCGGAAAGGAGGCGCTGGAGAGGCCCTTGTGGAATCTGCTTCGCCCGTCATGGATTCTGTTGGCTCGGCTGCCCTTGCTGCCCCAGACACTCCTCGGGTGCGTCCCCCTCCCAGGGAACTGAGCTCAACTGAGCCAAGCCCTCTGAGTGCGCTAAGCAGGGCCAGCTTAGCGGGTCAGCGCCCTCCAGCAGCTAGAGACCCGGCTCTGCGAGAAAAAGGGGAGGGAAATCTAAATGGAGAGCCAGGAGCTCAGCTTTGTTTCTGTTTAATGGTGTGGCAGCAAATATTTTCTGTTCGTCCTAATAAACGGAGAGGGGGCGAGGAAAGAAAGAAGCATTGTACCCCTTTCCAGAACCATGAACACGCAGTTGCTTCAATTAACAATGAGGGTTAATGAAAGCGTCGGCCCCAAGGACCTACTTGACACCAAATCCCCTTTTGGTCCTCGGGTCACAGACAACCCTTTGAGGCCAATAGATTAGCTGACATTCTGCTGTGATGAGTGAGAGAGATCATTCTGCAAAAAATCGAGAACGTAACCTGGAGGGGAGCGCCCGGGCAAGCTTGGAAGGAAGTGTCTCAGTCGCTATGGGAGAGTGGGAGGTTAGATAATAGAGCGAGCAGCCCTAAAAGGGCGGGATTAGGTCACTGGATGTAGGGGCGGGACCGGGCGGGGTGTTGGTGGTTTGCCTTCCAGCTCTGAACGTTAAAATGGGTTGAAGCAATGAACTTCTCCTGTTGTGGTTTCATTATTTGCGCAGTTCTCAGTCTCTTTCGGTCTATTCTCTCTCATCCAACTTAAGCCACCAAAATCTTGAGTTTCGCGATGGATTTCGAGACAGTTCCCCTCAGGCGAAGACAATGACTTCAGAGATAATAGAGAAGATGTTGGACAGGCGTTGGAGTTAGCTTTTCTTTTTCTGGTTTCCTCCCTTCACCTTTCTCCTCTTGTTCTTTCCTTTCCTTCCTCTCTTCTTACTTCCTATCTTCCTTCTCCCTCCCTTCCTGACTCCCTTGGCTCTTCCTTCCATGCTGCCCTTTTTCCTTCTTTCCTCCCTGGTCTCGGGTAAAGTAACTACATGCAGCTGTCCTCCTTCTTCCCTCCCAGGCTCAGGACATTTCAGAGGGCCAAAGTAGTAGAGTGGAAAGAAAGCCAGAGTCCAAGGACACCCAAGTCAGGTGTCCGGCCTCTTTTTAAAATCGTTTCCTAAAGCTGCAGAAAATGCCCCGCCTCTTCCCCACCCCCCACCCCGCTGCCCCTTCTCTTTCCTGGGGAACAGCTGTTCCCTCACCCTGGCTCTCTCCGTGGCTCCCCTGGGACACTCAGTCTGCACCGCTGACCCGCGGCTTAGGGTCTGGGAAATTAAACTGCGAAAAGATAAACATTATTTCAAGTCGGATTTGCGGGATTAGCGCTTGTAATAAAGAGTATTAGTTGGAGCTTCTTTCAAGGCTCCCAGTGTCCCTCTCTCTGCCCCCTCCTAAAGCGCAGGTAGCCCTTCCCAGGGCCAGAGTCTTCTAGCCCCCAGATCTAGGGCAGTGGCTATTGTCGTGCAGTATCCCTTCATCCCTTCCTGAGCTCGGCCCGAGGATAGTCCTGTGAAATGGCCCTTGAGGAGTTAGGAACAGCGCCAAGACGCCCACATAGCCTTCTTTTCTGATTTCAGCTAGAATCCCTGTCCTGCCTCCCTTAGGTCTGCTATTAAGTAGCCTTTTGGCAGCTGGGTCCCAGCTGGCTAGACTCCACCGCTAACTTGGCTACTCTGCCAAGTAGCCCCTCCTTCTACCCAAGCCTCCGGGCTTCAGCTCCTGTAAAATGAAGATTCTATATCTTTTCCCACTTGGAATCCAGCATCCAGTCGAGCTCAGCGCTGCTCTAAAACCTTCAGGAGTTTGGTGGAGATGCGAGAGGAAGTCAGGTTAACGGGCTGAGCCTTCAGGGGCTCTCCAAGGCTGTATACATGACCCTCATTCCTTTTCCATCCTTCTGATTACCAAGGAAGCAGTCTGATCTGCCTAGTCCCTCACTTCCCACTCCATTTTCCTAGGTTCGGTGAGACCTGTGGAGCAAACTTCTTCAAATATGATCCGGGAAGTCATATTTAGAAGACTGCTTTGACTAAAAGGAGAACAGAGAGAGGGCGGAGGTTAGGAACCAAAGGCGTTTTTGGAAGTGGGAGGGAGTGAAAGGGACAGAAGTGTAATGAAGCTGGGAGTGCTATACCGACAACTCAGTGCAGTTAATTTCAGTAACCAAGAAGAAAAATCCAAGGTGATTGGAGCTGCGCTCTGTTAGCGTCTCACATTCGAACCTCAGGGCAAACTAAGACAGATGAAGGAGGGGGAAAGAGACTTCATAGACCCAGAGCAGTACGACAGGTAGGACATCCTATCTCACCCTCCGTCTGCAGATGAGGTTAGGGTGGTGTAACCTAGGTTAGGGTGGTGTCACCTAGAAAGGTAGGTTTTAGAGTTGGAAGGGAGCTTAGAGATGGTCTAGTGTCTAGTGCAATTTATTTATAGATGAAGATCAACCCCAGATGGGAAGTGACTTACCCAAAGTCATACATTTAGCAGAGCCAACAGTGTGCTGGTAAACGTATAACAAAGTATCCTACCACACTTTTAAATTTAATCTGCAGTATTAACATATTTCCATCACGTTTTAAGTTCAGACAATCAAGAAAACAATAAGTCATGCCCTAATTTGTTTCGTTTGCCGTGGTGTAAATGTTCACACTGAAAATTTAAAATCATCTCTCTTCTCTCACTCTCTCTCTCTCTCATTTTCTCCCTCACTTTCTTGCTTTCTCCCACTCTCTCTGCCAGGCAAACCTAATACTAATTAGTCACTACCTGATGCCCCTCCTCCTCTTCCCAGAAGTTTTGGGTGTCTGGAGTCAGGGTGGTATTCTCCACCTGACCTCTCTACACTTCTCAGGATTCTTTGAAGTCACGAAATTGTCTGCCTTTCTTATTATTATCTCTTGTTAGGGAGGGTCAGGAATTCTGGCATTCCTGCCTTGCCCTAGAACTATATGCTCCAGAGTAGGGTGGCCAAGTACCCCCTTGTTGCCTACTTTCCCTGGCCTCCTACTGAGATCACATACATCCAAAGTGACTCTGTCTCCCAAAACCCATCACTTCATTCTGGCCACCACTTAGGGGGAAGGGAATAGACCTGCTTTGTCCTAGAAAGTAATCTCTTCAAGAACAGGTGCAGACATTCCCTGATGGACTTAATCTGGATTCTCTTTCAATCTCCTCATTGGGATCAGCTTTTAAAAACTATATTATTTTTTTTTATCCCAAAATGCAACAGCTGGATGTTCTAGGGAAGAAAGAAAAGAAGGAACTGCATTTTGGGACCCCATCCTATTACCATTATTCACCCTCATATTTCATATATATGGAATTGCATAACATATTAGAGCTGGAGAAGACCTTAGAAGTCACTTAGGTGGGACATTCAAGTTAGAAGGGACCTTACAACATGAAATATTGCAGCTGAAAGGTACTTAAGTACATAGAATGTTGAATGTCATAGATGAAAGAGGCCTCTAAATATATACTATTAGAGTTCTAAGGGAGCTTACTGATCATTTAGTCTAAGCCTTCTCCCATTTAAAGATGGACTAGAGAAGGACTAGAGAAGGGAAAACACTTAAGCACTTGTTAGTTGGTAGCCAATTCAGAGCTAGACTCAGGTCTTCTGACTCCCAGGTTCTTTACACCTCACTGCCACTCTAATGCCCACTGCCTGATTTGAATCCAATTCCTTATTCTCACTTTTAATCCAACAAGACAGGATCTTCAGTTCAGAAATGACCAAAAGACATATCAGGAAGCTGTAGGAGTATGTGGCCCATGGGTAGCTAATTTTTAAAATATTGAAGGCCAGCAAAATTCTCTTATTAGATATGGGTGGCAGTCCCTTCTCCCTTTGGCCAACTGTCTCTGTCACTTGAAGTTTGGTGTGCCACCGTCTGTGTCCCAGACAGCCACTTCTCCTGTCAACTCTTTAATTCTTCTGTCATGAAAGAGCACTGAGTTCTTCATATTCTTCTCCATAGGCAGTTGATTGTGTACTATGCTAGCAGAAAATAGTAATTTCAAGGCAGGGAAATAATTTCCTTTTATGCAAGTTTTTAGAATTCACTTCATTTAGAATCAGAGATGTATCTGGTTTTTTTTTTTGTCTTTTTATATCACCTTTCCTCTCTGGCACCTAGAAGAGTGACTTGCCCATAATAGGAAATAATTAATGTTTGTTTAATTTAAATGAGCTACTCCAGAAGCCTCTTAGAAGCCTGCAGAGACTCTTAGTAGAGACAAGCCAAGGCGATAGAAGGCATAGCACACAAGCAGCCTAGATCTGCATTAGCAGAAAGGGACACAGGCAACCCTTTGGAGCTGCTACAGGATGCACAGCCCAACCAGCACACAGGCAGTGCACTGTTCTGCACTGTACCTGAACCACAGCAGGAGATGGGAACATACAAGTACCAAGGCAGCTTATGCTCAACCCAGAGCCAAGGCAGCCTGTTCCTGAATCAAAGCAAGAGGCCAGACCAGATCAGCTTACAAGGAGACACATTCCAAAAGACAAAAGATAACTTACAACCTCGAGTAATGTACCATGAAAAAACTAGTATAATCCTATATGGAAAAAAAAACCCAGAGACCTCTAATAGAAAAGAAGACTTTAAAGAACTCCTGATGAAAATACCGGAGTTGAAATGCAAACACAAAAGTCAAGAGAAAACTAGGAAGGTAAATACATTTGGGTATTTGGGAAGATCTATATAATGATGAAGTGCTTTAATTCTAATTGAGGGGAAAAGAAGTATTCCTACAGAACTCAAATGTCTCTGTGGATCACAAAAGGAGTCAAACACCTAGAGACCTTGGGAAAATGGTTTTGTTCTGTTTTGAAAACTGTAAGAGACAAAAGAAATGGGAGGGAAAATTATGGGAAGAAAGGAAAAGAAAGGGGAGGGCATTCACTATATCATAATAGGGGTGCACTAGATAAAGGATATGAAAACATGGAGGAAGGAGTGAGAGAACAGACATCATATGAACTCCATTTTCAACAGAACTGAATGAAGGATAGTGGAACAAATGTACAGATGTACACACAGAGTTTGCTGCAAAAAACACATTAAACTCAACAAGAAAATAGATATAAATAAAGAGAAGGGAGAGGGGAATTAGGTTAAGAAGGACAAGGATTCTGCTTCTGGAAGCCAAGATGGCATAGTAAGAAGTAAGTCACTCTTATCATCCCTTACTAACCTCTGAAAGCCCAGAAAATATTGCCCCAGGAAAAACCTTG